GTTCATGTATTGCGTAAGCCATAACTACCTTCGTGAATCTGCGATATCTATGGCGTCAGAATTGGGTTTCCCTCAGTTAGAAATGCCGTGTTTACAAGACCACAGTGAGTCCTACTATATCAAGCTGAAACTTGGCCCTTTCAGGCTGAAGACCTGAGACATCTTGAAGTCTTTGATCATCACTATCTGCGGAGCATTGCTGGTGTCAGGGCGCACCAGCGTGTCCGCAACGATGATGTGCGCAAGCGAGTGCCAGGCAATGATGCTCAAGCCTGGCACAACAGATAATACTAAATAAGTTGCGTTGACTATGTATGCTCGCCACCGTTTGCCGAAGATAGCGCTCTTTTGTTTGCCAGATGTAAGGTGGCGCGGGGTTCGAGGTGAACAAAAGTTAACTTAGCAGAGGGAAATGAAATTACTGACGAGCAAACTCGTTGCTGTTGGTCTGTCTCATTCCAGGCTGGAATCCGCGTGGCCCGCCTTGTGCTCAGCTCAAGGCGTTGCAGGACATAGCTCGCAGCCGGCATCAGCGGCGCCTTTGCAGTCGTCACTTAGCCAGACTACCAGTTTAAAGTGTATTTGGTACTAAGTTGAAATTACTAAGACAGTATCCCATTATTCATAAGATGGACTACTTTTGAGAAGTCCAAATAAATGTGTTTGGTTCCCTTACCCTCGTCAACTGCTTTAGTCCACTTATTACGTGAAATCAGCAGGTTCGTGGTTCATGAGGGATGCTAACAAAAACTGTAGTGCTCCGTTGTGATGATACTGTAGCTTTCCAGGTAGCCAATCACTGCGTCTACAGTAATCTACAGTAATTGCCATGATCATGGCAAGTACAAGGAGAACCGTTACAGGGCAATACTTGGCAGGCTTTGTACGAGTTCTACCATTGTATATATGGATGGTGATTACACGCTTGCACTTTGACGGAACTATATTCTCTTTTAAACAACTTTGAAGGATTCAAGCAAACGGTTTTACTAGGTGCATGACTGAGACCTGCTGTGCTTCGGGTGAATGCTATCCGCTCCAGGTAAGCTGTGGGGGAGTAAGGAAAGCACCTTTATCAGCACCGTTTATTCAGGGAATGTGACGATTAATAAAAATGATGCGGAAGTAATTGTAACAGGAAATGCATTCGAGTCTTGTATTACTTAGAAGATAAGTGGGTATTGGACAACCAAGACGCTGGGCGCCTCTATTGTCGCATGTGTGTGCCCACCCAGCGTAATGAATAGCTGGATTTCCAGCTGCACTTCGCGTGTCTTTAGAGAAGCTTGTGCTCCGCACAACAGAGTTTGTCCGGCTTCTGTTGTTGTGTTAACTTGTCATCACGAGCACAGTATTTTACGTATTTACGTTCGGCTACGTGTACGGTCCAATGTTTTTTGTAAACGCGCACTGCCCACTCCCTTAGGGTCACAAATGAAGACTTTCGGGTCGGATGCTTTCGCGAATAGTGAACTGAAGTTTGCTAACAATGCATCCCATGCTATCGCTGGGGTACACTCAGTCATGAATGTTCAACGAATGCGGACACTGTGTCATAATACGTGACAAGATACACTCGTTCAAGCTTTCCATCATCATGATCTTCATAGTAAATATAACCCAACAATAGCACCTTATGATCGCGTCGATGCAAAATCTGTGCGTATCTAGCCCATTAACTACCAGCTTGTTGCTGGTAAGCATTTCTAGCATCGATGAATTATTCGCTATTCGAAACCTGCTGGGAGCGGTGACCTACTTGTACAGTGGCGTGTGGGACATTAGCTTTTGCAAATGGACTTTGAACTGTTCACTTTTTGTTGCTGGAGTTTCCAGACAATGGCTGTTGAAATCTTCTCAATTGTAGATATAGCTGTATTTCCTAATCAGTAAAATACGCAAAGCCGATACCAGTCTGTGGTGCATTTCGAGAGTTGATTTAGGTCGGTTAACTACAGGCACAAAGCATAGGTCGTCGTCCTTCAATAATAGCTTGCACTAAAGGAGGTCCGTGACACGGGTCTGTGGTTCGTCTATGATTTAACAGTGACGATTTGTTAGGAAACAAGTGACCACTCAGCGCCCCCACCCTACCCGTGCTATTGTTCTAGAGAGACGACATACCAGATAGAGTGATCACACTCATCTCCCAGCTCAGTCAAGTTTAAATGATCAGTATGATTTCTCAACGCACTGAAGCCTGACGACATCATAGTATGCGCATCTTATTGCTATGATTAACAGACAAGAGAGATTCTCGATAACCAAGTACGAGTTGACGGGTATTGTATCAAAAAAAGAGTGTGTCAACAGTTGGGAGGTCGGCCACTAGCCGTATTTTGGTGAGTCGTAGACCCATGAGGTTCGGCTAGGTTATACGGCTGTTCGCGGCTCTCAGGAGCGAAGTATGGTTATAACTTCTCACTTGATGAGAAATATACCCATTCTTATTATACTCGCCAGTATTTCAATGTATTCCGTCAGATGCTGAAATTGCCACTCGTGGCTCCATACCTACTGTCTTTAAGCGCGATTCTGTAGAGAGCCTCATGCTAAATCTACTCCAGTTTTTCAAAATCAGAGAAGGCAATAGTTCAGACTGGAGCGCTATCTCCATTGGTCAGATATCGTTTCCTTTATGGTTGGGTGACATTGGAATTCATGTCTACCATTCAGCGATGATAGTGTCGAGGGAGAGTGCTCGGCGAAAATAACGCCATTGCTCCCTCTTATACGCTTTCGTTCCCTCATAGAAAGAAGTTTAAAGCTCGAAAACTCCGTTAACTATGGTATTCAGCTGTTCATTAAATTTGCAATCTTCCTCATGCTTGATTCTTGATTTGTGACGTTCTTACTGACAGATGTCCAGAAGTATGCGAACCTCATCTGATGAGTTGCAGCGCCGAAGTAACGACAGTAGCGCGGATTTTGTGTCTTCAACAGAACTCTTGTCACCAGAAGGATTGGAGGACAATCATAATGCATATTTTGCTTCATAAAGATAATAACATGAAAACTAGAATGACAAGAGATATTAGGTAGAACCAAAGCCCGTTTGCTATTTTGCTATGCAGTCTCAATTCTTGGATCGACTTTCCTACACATTTACAAAAGGGTTAATCTAAAGCGAGTTGAACACGTTCTCCTCATCTTACTTTTTTACCCCATTCTTCCAATAGCACACTTTGCGTAGCATCATATTTTGACTTCTAGCCTTACTATTCGGATGACGAGCAAAATGTGAGGGTCACTGCAAATTCTAAAATCGACGATAAGACAGTGCTTAATGTCGGTCGCGAGTTCACAGTAAATGTTGATCGATCGATGTGCGCAGCTTGCTGGTGAACGTGGAAAACAAACTGGAGGTGAATGACACTTGATGTAAATGACGGGAGACAATGAATCAAAACTGGTCAATAGTCCATCTGGAGGATACCGTATATGAACGAATCCTAGCTTATTGGAAGGGCTCTGAGATTTCTGTAACAAACATAATAACATTTGGTCAGATAGCCCGAAGGCGATAAGTTTGTACTTGGTTTTGATCACGAGAGCTGAAGAACGGCTAGAATTGCTGGAAGTGTGATCAGCAAGAAAGAAATTCTTTGCAACAAGTCTCAGAAGATAACGCTAGGAATACGTTCCAAATATGTGGAAACCAAATGTTTTGTCAACAGATGAAGTGAAGTAACTCCAACTGAACGAGGAACTCGAAAACGATACAGCGAAAGGCACTTTCAGTATTAAGTTACTCACTGCTGTATAGGCCCTCCGATAGGCCTCCTAAATATCATCGGCCTGGATCAGTAGGTAAGTGTACAACTGTGAGTAGGTAGATAGGAGAGCCATACAAATATTATTGTTTGGATCGGCTTTTAACTTTACTAAATGACCCCATTAGAGCCACTTTCTCTACTTACTTTGTCGGTACAATTAACACAGCGGTAACACAGACAAGTTTGACATATTCAACAACGGAAAATAACTTGTTGTACTGATTATACTATAATTCTGCTGAACTTGAGACAAGTATGTTCACGGTAATCCAACCCACGGTAGCCGAAGACGACACGACTAAAATCCCACCCTCAGGCGCGCTCCATGTCTTCTGAATGTGGTTAAACTCGGTGACACTGGGTATCTTAAACGTTACAACGACCGAGTGAGGGCGGCAATGGTACTAGCGGTGCATATTCTGTAGGGCTGATTACCAGCTGCACAGTGGCTGCCCACACTTTTGTATAAAATATTACTATATTAGATTTTAGTGGTTCAGGGACAAAAAGAACGCTTTAATCCAGCGATACAGCACCGCTGTTCTGTAATCATGGCACTTTCCACTAACTCATTAGTTGCTAGTGGGTAAGTGAATTAAGTCAAATATTAGGTAGGCACCACCGATATCCTGTTGTCATCTTAGTATGGGAATGGCAAACCCAGCATAATATTCACTCTTAAACAATTTGTTTATTTCTAGAAAGTGCAAGGTAAAGTCCGACTGCGTTATCTAGTTAGTAGGTATAGTGGGAGGGCATAAAACAGACGGTAGAGCTGATAGACCGCATTCAAAGCATCCGGCTATCATACGACATCTGAACCCAGATATCATACTGCTTGAATATATTTACATTGGTCATCCAGTGTTATCAAGTTTGAAAGTCTCAGTTCTCCACGTTCCAACATGACTAAATTCATAAACGGGAGGAAGAACACATTGTGAACATTTTTCCATCGAGCCTAGACAAATGATATATATAAACCGTTTTATTTTCCTGGCCAAAGACTATCTATACAAACACGAAGGAACCGATAAACGGGCAGTTGCAATATTTCAAAATGCAGGTTGACCTGTTTTCTTATGCCACCGTTCATATTCGTTTTTACTGTTAATCAGTGTGAAGGCCGTCTGGTCATCAGTGCACTATGTAAGACAAATGGGCCTTATTCAAAAGAACTAACACTCTGTTGTTCATATGCAAGTCCAACGTAAACATGCTCACCTTTCTGAACTGTTCTAAAATTTCCTTCAATTGCTCTTTTATTGCACGCAATTTGAACTCATAGGTGAGTCTGATTTGGTCAGCATTGTTATCGACTTGTTGCAAAAGTCGTTGACGCTCTGTCTCTGCTTTCCGCTCATAATCTTGCATGAGCTGTTCCCTGAGAGTTTCTTCTTTTTCTAGGTAATCCGTTTTTGCTTCGGCCAAAGCTGCCTCCGATTCCACCACAGTTCGCCGAAGCAGTTCTATTGTCCTTTCTTGGGTCAGTACTTGCTCTGACTTTGATCGTAATTCGTCAGTAAGCGAACCGAGTTGCTCCTTAAATAGCTTGGACAAGTTTTGTTGTACTTCTGAGGGTAAATTAACAGAGATAACCCACGGGTCAAATAAGTACTCGTGAAGAACCCGCGCAGCTTTACATTGAGGCATCAGCATTCTTGCCTCTGTATTGCTGGCTAAAACGTGGCGTACGTTAATTTGATGGCTAAAACACATTCAATATCTGTAGGCGATCTTGTTGGACTGATAAAGGCACAACCACGGCTTGTCTATCTAGTGTTTTAATGAGTAAAATACGTATGAGTACTTGATGCTGTGCTTCTCAATACATCTAAGTGCATAGAAGACAAAAGGAAAATGGAAAAAATGCAGAATAAATAAGGAAATTTATAGGTGAGTGATAACGCCACAAAACACCTGGATTAAGCGCTGCATGTTTTTATCTGACTAGATGCTACGCCATGTACCACTATGCAGTTTTCTTAGATCGTGTGACACAAAACTCAGGAGCGCAGTTTGCAATTTAGTTATCTTGCTGTTATATTATTTTTAAATTTCATTGGATAAATTGACCTGGGGAGCAAGATTGCACGGGGACTTTCTTTGATGTTTTCTACCGAGGTGTAAAGAGTTCGGTGTACGTTATGCATACAACTGGTAGCGCATTTTGAGCAACTGCTTCATTTGAAACACGTCACACACTAAATAAGTGTTAGTACCCCCCTGCGAATGACATTGCTAGTGACACTCCGAGCGGCTGGCTTAGTAACTGTGCTCTGAATAACAAGGAAAATTGTGTCCAAGGGTTTAGGCAAACGCTTGGTAGGTAGATATTGAGCGCCTAGAGATCTCATGCTCTTGTGGAGCTGCAAGCGTCCTCGAAACACTTCCTCGATGCTTGGGTTTACATTTTACTACCAATGAAACTATCAGCTTCTAATTTTTATGTTTACTATACCCAATAAAACATATGTAACCAAAGTTCAGAAAATCCTTCGTAAAGCATGTTGTATGGAAGGTATTTGGCACATATACACTAGACCTCGAGATCTGAGGCACATACAATGAACCATCAACCATAACTTTTCACCGCTAAGTGAAGCACCTATCAACTATGTTATGCCAATTCTATCTCACTCGTCTGTCAGCACCTCTAGATGGTCGCTGAGCTTAAATTACCCAGAAACGCACTACAAGACATTAGATGGTGCTACAAAGGATCAGAAATCATACCCGGATAATTTACCTTGCGACTAAGAGGCATACTGTCATGCACACTAAAAATGAGCATTGGTTAAGCGCCCTGACATGCTTGAGAGGTACTGAAAAGCAAAAGCACGATGAGATCTGCGCTTCATCGATCGACCAAAAAGGAACGCGTCTGCTACCAAAAGAAGGCAGTCTGTGATTTAATTATATGCAAAGTAAGTAACAGAAAACGAAAAATTGTTTCAATTTTCCTAACTCTTTTCATCCAAAGTGTGCTGAGTCTTTATCAAGCGAAGTGTGAATATACTATGACAGTACAGACTATCGATGGTAAAGCACAGTATGTATAGTCATCCCATTGGTCGGCATCCAAGATGTACTATCTAAGAATAATGTTGGTACTAGTGGTGATTGGAAAATGGTTGTGGCCAAGGGTTCACGAATGCTTCGACCTTCAGTTACACTAAAAAGATCTAAAATAAATGAGGCGGCGAAACTGTATGGGCGCAGTGTACACTGATCGAATATAGACTATCGGAGCAGTCAAGCACAACCACAGCTACACAAGCGGTCCTCAATAACCACATAGCGTGCCGTCACTGATCTACACAAATGTCTCTTAATCGACAAGAAATTACATAACAGGAAAGCAACTCGACAACGAGGACCAGGGAAACATCGTATGTGACATTCTGCGTGTGCAATTAGATGCGAGCACCCCGACACCCGAACTCAAAGGAATATGGCGAAGAGCCTACTCTGATTTGCGCTGACTGTCACCGAGGAAGCGGAAACAATACTGCTATCGACAGCTTGTTTCCAGAATGGGTTCTAATCCGTCCGCATCTTCCCGGACACTCTGGTGGTCAAGCGTAGATAAGCAAAGCATGGATTTGAAGAATACTAGGAGGAATCCATAGCCAGTAGCCTCTTTGTCCACGGTGTCCATGAGGCTGGTAGACGTAATAAAGAAGAAACAACTGCCCATCACCAGGAGCAGTGACACTACCTTCCCGAGATCTTCTCCTTGAAAGCCGTCATTGCATAAGCAAACTCTTCCCAAGCCAACACGTCGTTACAAAAGATGTAGCACAAGGATTTTGAAGGTGTTGATTCCATTCAGACGGAGGTCGACAAAAGTATTTGACTACTGCTATGTGCATCGCAGCAGACTACCTTCTAAGCCCCGGCGCAAGACATCTCCCAGCCAAGCAAAAGACATGCGAAACTTAGTCGACTCATGTCCCGAAAACGGTTCAAAGAGCATTATTCACTAATGGATATTATCATATGTTTTGGACAAGATGATGATCATGGAGTAACCTAATGAATCGATGGATCTGGCGCAGAAGCCTTCGTCCTTGCTTCGCACAAAAACGATTGAAGACCGAATTGCCACCGGTTGGAACAATATCACACCCAAAACCTACTTCTTACAACTAAATCTGTGATCAGAAAAACTTTTCTGAAGGTACACCATTATACCAAACCTTATCAACAAGCTTGTTTAATTCTGACTTTGCTAGGAACCACACGTCTGGGACCTCAGCTTCAGAACTCAGAAAATACTGTGACTGAAGTCGCGAACCAAAGCATGTCCCTTATTGCAAACCTTTGCTCAAAAAGGGGGTTGGGATACTAAGTTATTACCGCAGCGACCCGCCATGGGAGCAGGCAGATGATCTGGAGATCCGGAGCAGACACTCAGGTACCATCTGTGACCTAAAGGCTATGCAGCAGTTCATTTTGATTCCAAATGTCCATCTCAGAAATGAACCCCGTCAGACATTTGCAGTGCAAAATATTGGCTGAACAATATAGAGCCATCGATTCATCTCAGCTGATTTCGAGATTATGATCACGAAGTTTCATGGTCCCCAGGGAACAGTTCTGGGCTGACCCGCAAGCGTTTATTAGAAGCATTTCTTTCCACACCTATGCCATTTCGTTTTCCAGATTCAGAGAGGGAAACCAAATATCAGTGCTTGATTTGTTACTTATAAATGAAGAGACCATGATCAATAGGTCGAGCAGTATTTTCTCATTGCGCCTATCCGGTGACGATGCAGCTTGGAGCACCGGCCAAGCTGGTGTTGGCATTGCAATGAGTGCCCGAGCTGAAGTTGCTCTGGTTACTTGGATTCCAATCAGTAGCCGGATGCGTGCAGTCCCATTGGCAGGCTCGTTCAAAGCTTTAACTCGCGCAAGACTAATCGGTGTCTATTTATCATCGCTGCCTACGCGCCCACAAACTGTAGCGATTATTCCGTAAAAAACGACTTCTACCGGCAACTGACCTAGATCCTTCGCCACAAAAGAAGCACGGACACTATTGTGCTGGCTGGGGATCTGAACACTCAAGTTGGAACGTTGTCCACTGATGAAGTGCATCTGGGCGGTCAGCACGGTGAAGTCTCCCGTGATGATAACGGTGAGTGGTTACTTCATTTGTATGAAGACGTCCGCATATTTCTTGCTACCACTAACTTCCGACACAGCACTCGCCGGAAAGTAACTTGGCGCCCACCACCCTCGAACCAGCCTTGGACGCAGCTCGATCACATTGGTATCAGTTACCGCTGGAGAAGCTGCATCCAGAACTGTCGCTCGATTTCCAGCACATATGTGTACACCGACCATGACTTGAATGTGCTGACATGCGGATGCGTTTTGGCGAACGCCCACGACGACGTGTGAGCGCATTGAAACCAGCCAACTGACAAAGCCAGCTGTTTCGAATGCCTATCAAAGTACGCTGATATACGAGTTGAGTAAGTGCTCACTGGAGACAATTGGTGGTCCATGGTCACATGTTCACCAGACCTTACTAGGGGCAGGCAAATCCTCATGTGATAAGCATAATAACCAACATGGACACTGGGTCTCTTCGCGGTACCTGGAACCGATGGATGCTCGCCAGCATATTCCCGCCGGAAGCGAACATAATGAAACTCGCAAAGAGATCCAGGAAAAACTCAGTGCTAGCCTGAAGAGAGATGGCAAAGCTTGGTGGTCTCTTCATGCATCAGGGATGGAAGTGGCCGCTGCCCTTGGTAACCATCGTAAGTTATTCCGTCTGATAGGGGAAACCAACAGCAGGAGACGTCGGGTCAGTGAAACTATACGTGACGAGAGTGGACAGCCTAGCCACAATTTGCCAAAAAGTATAGAACGTGGTGCTGAGCATTCTGAAAAGCAATTTGATCGGCCGGAATTGTCCTATTCCTCGCCGGCCAGTAATCGTCTTGCTAAGTGGGTTGTCCTTTTGGATCCGCCCTCACGCTAAGACGTCAAAAGTGAGATCGCACTGTTAAAGTTGAACAAAGCCGCAGGACCAGGCGATCTTCCTCCAGCCCTCTTCAAATGCTGTGGATCTGCTCTTGTTGATGATCCACAGTAGTTACCAGTAAAAATGTGGAAGCAGGAAACTGTCCCAACCGACTTAAGCCGCTCCGTTATTGCTCCCATCTTCAAAGGAGGCTCGCGTTCGAAATGCGGCAACCATAGAGGAATCAGTCTGGTCTCCAACGCCTTCAACTTACTCGCCTCCATAATCCTTCACAGACTGACTGGCACTCGTGAAAGCCATTTTCGTGAAGAGCAAGCCGGGTTTCGTCGGGGTCGTGGCTGCATCGACCACAACTTTACTTTGCGTCAGTTGTTCGAGCAAAGTCACACATATTGGCGCCTCACCGTTCTCGTGTTACTCGACATGAAACGTACCTTCGATTCGGTTGATCGATTTGCGCTTTAGGATTGTCTATTCAAGAATGGTGTACCTGAGAAATATGTAAATATTATCCTAGCATTATACGCGCGTAGCTCGGGCAGAGTGAGGGCTTACGACAAGTTGTCGTCGCCCTTTAATATCTCCAGCGGCGTGAGACCAGGATGCCCGCTGTCACCTTTCCTCTACAACTTCGCTATTGACGAAGTTATGGAAATCGCGCTTACATTACATGACTTAGAAGGTGTGAAACTACTCCCAGGAGAATGACTTCTTGACTTGGAGTACACAGACGACATTGCCCTCATGTGTAACAGCTTCCAGACATGTCAAGCGGCACTGGACAAATTAGCACTGGCTGTCAGCCGCTTCGGGCTTTGGTTTGCATCATCGAAGTGCAAAGCGCACCTCCAAGATTTGCAGGGATCGCCTCCTGCGCTGACACTTGGTGGGGATCTGCTAGAATTCGTCCAAAAATTCAACTACCTGGTAAGTTGTATCAGCGCACGTGGGATTGAAGACGAGATCACGAACCGTATATCAAAATTTTGAAGTGGTTTTGCTAATGTTCGCCACCTATGGCGGAGGCGCGAAATCACTCTTGCCCTGAAGGGTAGAATGCACAATGCAGCGGTACGTTCGATCTCTATGAACGGTTATGAAACCTGACCCCTTGGATCAGCCGACATAAAGAGGCTAGTCGCGTTCGACAACCGGTGCCTTCGCAATTTAGCTTACATCTGGTGGGAACACCGCGTGGGAACGCGTGAGCGTATTCAACGCCTTGTTTACGACACAGGAAAAGGAAAGGAACATCTCAGCACCGTTATTTCACGCAACAGGCTTCGAGGGCTCGACCACGTGGTACGCAAGCCAGCCCACTGACTCCCGCGACGTGCGTTGTTTACGCGCTGGGGGTGTGGATGGAAGAAGAGGGGTGGCCAAACGATGACTTGGTCCAGATGAATGAAGGCCCTCACTTCGGAGCTGGCCTCAATTGGAGCGTCTCGGCTCCTTGGTTGGGGTCCGGAAGACGATGAACACTTTTGGCTGGATGCACTTGCTGACATGGCAAAGAACCGACCTCAGTGGCGTTCGTGATGTGAGTTTCTTCGTCCCACCCCATCCCACTTAGCCTCCCCCTAAAACCACGATCTCATTTCGTAGCGTAAGATAATTTTACATAATAATGTTCCTTGTTGCCTAATAGCCGGCGGGTAGCTTATCGGAAAGATGTCCATCCGTTGCTGGTAGCTCAGCTGGCAAGCAACTGTTGTATTTATTTTCCTTTTCTTTTATGCATTGCGGCACAGGAGCTGAGGTGTTTCCCACCTCTAGCTAACGTGTATAATGATGATGATGGGTCCTCTAGGTTTAATTTATCATGGTTCCATACTTTACGAGAATCTTTGTTATACCAAGTGTCCGCAGGAACTTGCTGACTTGGTAGGAAGTAGCAAAACTTACAGCCAACAGACAGAAACCGTCGACTAATTCATTTGGGGAATTGGATGTCTGTTCCAGTGATAGCATGTAGACGAAGTTTGTTTACATTTTAAGCCAACTGGTCACCTACTCGTCCGGAACAAGTCCACTTAGTTCTGTAAGCATTCCTCCATTCTTTCGGAGCAGAAGTCAGAAATGCATGACAATACGACACTCAAGTATGGCGTGTGTGCATGAGCAACCCTAGTTCTGACATCCGGAGCAACATCTTGGTACAGCCTACTCACTGTACCAAACTCATCCATGATGCCGAATTAACGTATCAGCTGTGCCTAGTGGAAATGTTTTGTGTCAATACCAAGATACCGTACAAACATTCGAACAGACCCCCAATAGTAGAGTGTATAATTCCACGCTCATCTCGGTAGACCGCAGTAATCAAAGCGCCGAGGGTGCAGGCAACGTTGTATGGATGCAATACGATTCAATATTCCGACGTGCCATCAGCTTGTCATACGCTAGCTTTTGTCCCTCAAACGCCAGGATTTACCGATGTCACCTTCAATTCAGCGACTGTAATGGGGAGGCTGCTACCTTTGCGTGTCTATCGTTAGACAGGATTAGCAAATTCACCACAAAACGATTGATCTGACTGCTGAAAGGATGGCCCAAAGACCACTAAGATCATTTGAAAGATGCTTAAACGAACATCAGATTCTTAGCATACAATGAACAATGAACCATGATATATAACGGGTACAAAAGCAGGTACTTGAAATGTCCCGTAGGGTGTTTAGAGTGAGAAAAGATAGATAAAGGGAAAATAGAGTCGTCAGTTCGGGCGATTACAGATTTAACTGCACTGCCGCATAAAGGGAGTTTGAAATGAGAATGTACGCACACAAAGCAATAACGGGAGTGGTTATTGATCACATAATAGGCGAGAAAAATAAAGATAGCAGGGACAACGCTTGCACGTGTGCAACTATCTTGGGTCGACAGGATA